GCGTACCACGCTAGCACGTGAACGCGCTTGAGCTCCTGTCTGTTTTTTGTCTGGCGGGGGACGAGACCTCCATACTCGAGCTTCTCAATCAGCGAAGGTCGTCGACCCTGAGATCCGCAAACACCAATGTATCTGATGATTTACACATGTCACGCTGCCTTTACCGCGCGGAGTCTGCATATTGCTGCCGTCGATTGCCGCTCACAACAACATAGCAATGCGCTGCCACATATCGCGTCTCGTTTTCTTCGACCTCGGGACCGCCATCAAGTCACTCCGAATCTGGACTCAGCTTTGTGCATTCCTACCTGTTCAGATTGGTTCGCATGTCCGATTCATCGAGGTATAGATTCGATTACTCTTCGGTAAAGACCCAAAGCACCATCACGCACATGACTGTGGTGGTATTCAATGTGTTTCTGAGCTCAATTACCAGTTTTATCTCCAGTTTGTGCGTTCTCGGAACGAGTAAGTCCGAGTCTTCGAGGTGCTCGCGGATAGATGCTGTGGTTCCCGGTGTCTTTGTCCGTACACTTATCGAGCAAGCCGGACGGAAGGTTTGGGAAACGACCATGGTAAAACCAACTCCTTCTACATATATCACTCACAGCAGATTGCTTGCGCAAGCATATTTGTCTCGCTTGTGATTGCGCAGAGTGTCCGCCTGCTCACCAACAGCAAGCTATTACGATGACTAGATCATACCATATAACCCAGTCTTTCCTGGTATCATCTCAGTATTCGACATCACACTCCTCTTACGCATCAATACCCGTACCATCGGCAGCGGTTTCATTCACAATGGCCTCCTTCACAGACGTGCCAGCGGACCACGACTGGCGCGACAGCACCCATGAGCTCTACTATCCCACCAGCAGTACTGCGGTTCCTGTGGTGACGACTGATTTGGTCGGTCGACCCTGGATCTCTAAATCCTTTGTCGAAGAAGGACAGGAACAGCTCAAGAAAGACAAGAAACTGGTCAAGAAGAACAAAACAGCCGCCAAATATCCTCTCCGCACCGAACTTCCAGCTCTGATCTCACCGCAAACGATCTTAACTAATCACTTCGAGATCACTACCGATGCGGCGGACCTCTACGAATATGAGATCCTTGATCTGGAGGGAGAAGGACGCACCAAGAAGAAAGTCCAAGCACTGTTCAAGAGAGCCCTGGAGGCCTGGACCCACCTCAACAATGACCAAGCCAACTTCGCTACCGACAATCAAAAGACGATTGTGTCTTGGGTGAATTTGCATCAAAATCTCACGACACCACCGCAAGTGCCCGGAGACGCAGTCAATGAGAACGCAGGCGCAATATGGCCCAGCCAAAACATTACGACAGGAAACAATCCGGTCGCTGCCCGCTTGAAGTTCGTTAGCAAAGTACCCATTAGTAGACTACACAATCAGACTATGGCTACCCTAAGCGAGGTCCATACTGATCTGGCTGCTGTTGAACGATGCCTCAATATCATCATATCCAAGAGCTTCGATGCCGAAGTATACCGGCATTCCGTTGACAAGTTCTTCGTAAGGAAGGCTCGGAAACCCCTCTACCGCGAACAAAACAAGATTCAGTACCACTCGCAGTCGTTGGAAATCATGCGTGGCTACTACTACACTATCAAGCCGGGCATGGGATGTCTGCTGATGAACTTCAATGTTGCTACAAGCGCTTTCTTTCGTCCCGTCCTTGTCAGCGAGTTTCTGGCGGATAGCGAGACATTCCCCGACTTGGAAGAACGTATAGCGCTTTTGAGCAAACTCCGCGTCTACGTCGACCCGAAGCACACCCAGCAGCGCTTGAACAATTTTGGTGCTCGCATCAAGTCTATCCACAGCATTGGTGACAACAACAACCCCGATGAGAAAATCGAGGACCTGAGTTTCGTCGAGAAGGTGAAGGGAACCGATGGTAAGCCATTGAAGGACCCGCAAGGCAATTTCATCTTCCGGACGATACCAACAAAAGTTACCGATCACATCAGAAGCAGTTTTGGTCTCACCGCGATGACGGGTCGCAAAGCCGTCAACGTAGGCACGGCTACCGACCCTATCTGGTACGCGCAGGAGCATCTACGTATCGTACCCTACCAAATCTTCAGACGTCCTGTTCCTGAACATCTGACAAGCTCGATGGTCAATCAAGCTGCACTCAACCCCGGCGTCGCCCAGAGTCTTATCGAACGCGAAGGCCTTGCCCATCTTGGCTTCAATGAAGTCAAGAATGAGAAGGTCGGCTTCAGGAACGGCGCACCGTTGTCGCTCTATCCTACTATGATGCGTGTGGAGGCTGGCAGGATGCCCTTTCCCTCTGTGACATACAAATGGAACCAACACCACAAGGAGAATAGCAAGAAGAGCCTTTCATTCAAGCAGTCTGTCTGGAATATTGAAGACGATCACCAGTTTCATGAGCCCAAAATCTCGGCCATGCGGTACTACGTTATCCACCAGCTTCAGAATCGGCATATCACACCAACGATTGCCAACTTCGAAACCGAGTTGCTCAACCAGCTGGGCCGGAAATGCGGATTGGCAAACACCCAAGTCGTTCGTGTCAATCCTGGAAACGATGCAGCTACTATCGGATCGGGAGAGAATCTACAGTCAAAAATGGCAGAAGCTGTCTCCTTAAAGGCTGATCTTGTCATACTCATGCTTTCGTATCCGGACCGACACGTGTACGCGCACTTCAAGAAGCTGGCGGACAAGCACTTCGGAATCCGCTCCCTTTGCATCGCCAAACCCTCGCAACTCGAAACTCTGGGCACCGACCAGATTACGAAATACATGTCGAATATCACACAGAAGATCAACATCAAGTTCGGTGGTATCAACGCATCGGTCGAGTACATTTCCGAGGCATTGGGCAAGAACACTCTTGTCCTCGGCGCAGACGTAATCCATCCCGGTATTGGAGCATATGAGAACTCACCTTCCATTGCGTGTATTGTAGGATCGGTCGACCACGAAGCTGGCAGGTTCCTTGGCTCAGCTCGCCTACAGAGTAAAGACAAGACTGACCGCGAAGTAAGTTTATGTATAGAAGATTTGACTAAGAAAGCACTGACAAGACTTCAGATCATCGATCACGTCCAAGAGATGGTGGAAGAGAGGATCAGGGCCTGGATGATCGCCACAGGCAGTACCGTGGTCCCACAGAACTTCATCTACTACCGTGACGGTGTTTCCAAAGGTTTTATTATCCCATTCTTTTGGTATCCATCAGCGTACTGACTATGTTGCAGGACAATACTCGCGTGTTGTAAGCGTCGAGTTGACGGCTATCGAACGGGCCGCAGATGCAGTACGAAAGCGGAGCAACACATTGACGATGGGCGGCGGCAAAGGAACCAAAATTACTGCCCTCGTGGGCGTCAAACGTCATCATACTCGCTTTTATCCTATCGATGCGAACAGCAAAGATGGCTACGGTAACAACAACTGCAACCCTGGGACCTACGTCGACCGTACAGTCACTTCGCCGTATTTCCGGGACTTCTATCTGCAGTCGCACAGTGGCATCAAAGGAACTGCACGACCCACGCACTACTTTGTTCTACGGGACGATGGAATAGCGTCTTGCACGGGTGCTGCTAATCTCCGCAAATTAGTAAGTTGCTTGCCCCATCTTACCCTCCCAGGTACCCGTTTCGTACTAACATCACATTTTATAGACTCACCACCTATGCTACACCTATTGCCGAGCCACGACTGGTGTCTCATACGCTGCCCCAACGTACTATGCCGACCGTCTCTGCGACCGAGCACGTCTCTACCTCCCCGATACCTGGGCTGGCCGCGACGCTACCTTCCTGGGAACACTCAACACCGCTAAAGTAAATGAGCCTAGACGCCTGCAAACCGACCGCGACACCAGGTATCGCGCAGGTCAGGCTTTCGATGCTGCAGCTGGAGATGTGAAGAGCAACGCAGAGATTGACGAGGAAAACTCCGTTCCTCAAGCTGTGAGAGCACACTTGAGGGCCTTAGTATTGGCGCGCGCACAAACCGAGTTCTACAGCCAAAAGCCAGCTGGAACGACAACGGGTAATCCTTGGCACGAGTCTCTCGACAAGATCATGTTTTGGATGTGAGCCTTGGTTCACAGAACGGAATGGTAAGTCGGTGGAGGATGTAGCAGATTGCCACGGTATATTTCTTCTTCCCTCCCCGTTTGATTGGATTTCCCTTCTACCCTTTGGTCATCAAGTCATTCCCTCGGTACTAGACAAACACGGAGTAGGTACGCTGCTTATCAGTTGGTGACGTCCATTGCAACGTCACGCTGCTACGTCACCTGCCCCCCTCCTCAATACCATCTTGTCGGTACTATTATGTTTGACTAGCGCTACCTTAGCGCCGATCTTCGTGCATATAAACTTCCTCTCCCGTCCTCAATCCTCTTCTTCTTCTCTCCATTCATGGTGGCGAACTTACGAGTTCGTCGACTCAAAATTCACGCAGTTGGAAGCAATGTCTGTTTTTGGCCTGAGTGTCCAAAATGGATGGGTTTGCAATGTATGATCGCTGTTTCTTCGTCTGGGGAGTCTAGATGCATGGAGTTTACCCGACTGTCTTTTTGTAGTGTCTGCGAGAGGTCTTCAACACATGTTTCTGGTAGTTTGAGTTTACATGAATCAAGAAGAAGATTGATTTGAGGCTATGAAAGCCGCTTGATCGAGTCTCTCGGGGTATTTGCAAACTTAAAGCATCTTTGGACGACCTCGACCGAAGTCGTACGGCGGGAACAACATGGGTGGTTTATATGGCCTCGACGTTTTACAAGTTTGTCGATAACTGGTGAAGATGTTCTGAGTATTGAGTGTGTCGCCATACTCAGCGCCACCACAGCCAGCATCGAAAGGTTTGTTGGCGATGGTATTGGTCCACTGACTGCATACGACCTCGTAGTATGAGATATAGGGTTGACGGTGACTGTCCAGGACTACCTATGCTTCAAGGATTTGTATTAGGAAAGATGTATCATTTTAGTCCTCTAGCTTCTTCAACAAGGCCTTCATCTTGGCCAAGAGATCCGGAATCCTGAACGGCTTTCCAACAACATCATCCATACCCGCTTCCTTTGCGTCATCCATCTGTCCCCCTCGAATATTCGCGGTGACCGCGATAATTGGCACATGTTTCGTAATCTCTTTCCGTTCCTCCATCTCTCGTATCTTCCTGCAGCAGGTGAGGCCGTCCATCTCCGGCATCTCGCAGTCCATGAGAATGATGGTGAGTGGCATGCCATCAGCATCGCAGAACTTCGTTTTCGCGAGCTGCTTCAATGCCCAGACGCCGTTATCGGCGGTGTGTGTGACGCAGCCAGCTTTTGTGAGCTGTTTCACCAGTACCTTTTGGTTGACTAGATTGTCTTCGACGACAAGAACGTGAAGTCGATCATCTTTCTCTTCGTCTTTCTTGTCGTTTGTGGGCCGGGGAATCTGTGCTTGTACCGGGGTCTCAACTTCCTTAGGCGTGGCAGCGGGCGCGGTGGAGTTCTGGTTCGCAGCTGCGGCGCTGATTTTGCGCGAAGATGCCGCGTGTTCGGCGTCTAGAGCGTGCTTCACTGTGTCCGTTGAGATCGTAGGCTTTTTTGCAATCATGCGTTTGCATTTCAAGTAGAACCCGAAAGTACTGCCGACGCCAGCTTGTGACGAGACTCCGATTTGACCGCCGTGAAGCTCGGCAAGTTGACGCGAGATGAAGAGTCCGAGACCGCTACCTCCGTATTGCATATGCGTTCGTGGGGACTTCAAATTGAACATTTCGTCAGCCTAATTTTGGCAGTGATTAGGGGTTGGCGTCTACTCACAGCTTGCGCAAACTTCTCAAATAGCAGCGATATCTGCTGAGGCGACAAACCGCATCCAGTATCCTGGACATTGAACCGAAGATAGACGAACGAGCCTGAGCCCCAACCCTCGCCGTTTCCGAATTCGCTCACGATTTGTCTTGGCGGAACAACTAACGGCGGGCGCATAGAATTAGCACTTCACCTTCAGGATATTCGACTAATGCAGCTACTTACATTGGAATCCTTCTGGTACGCCAAAGTCTGGCGATTCCGCATGAGCACAGACATGAACTGTGATCGAGCGAACTGGTGCGTCCATAGTGAACTTGATGGCATTGGTAATAAGGTTGACGATGATTTGAAGGAGTCGACTTGGATCAAGAATGACCCAGTCAATTTCGAGATCTCGGATACTCTGATGCGGAACGAACTTGAAGTCGATGTTCTTGGCTTGTATTTCAGGACGGAACCTGTTAGGATGATGTCAGCCCAGCTTTCGTACATATTCGACTACAGGCTACCAACATTGCCATAGACCGCTGTACAACGATGATAGGCTGCGCTGGAATTGGAGTGATGCGGAGAAGATTCGAGTCCAGCTTTGAGACCGTGAGAATATCGTCGACGATCGACTTTTGATGCTGAACACAAAGAGCGATGTTTTCAGCAGCCTCGATACAGTCCTGGGCCATTTTTTGATCGCCAGTGCATGAGAATTTATAGTGCGTCAGAGTATCTTTGATATCGTCGGCACATATCAAGATCGCGGAAAGCGGGTCTAGATGTTGATAAATGCGTCAGTAGACATTTCGAATGCAATCTGCATAGGGAGGGATATCGCTACTTCTCATCTCGTGCGACGTGATGTCGATGAATTCGTTTTGTTGACGCTTCGCCTCTTCTGCCTCTCGTAGTCTTCGTTCTTGCAGACCCTGCGCCCACTTCAAATGCGAAATGTCCGTGAGCGAGCCCATGATGCTGATCAGCTCACCATCGGGGCTTAGCTCTGGCTGACTAGCAGAGAGGACCCAATATTCGATTAATGAACCGTCGATATCTCGGGGCTGGAATGTCGAATTGGCGAATTGTAGCTCACGACTTGCTGGCTTATGGTGAGTTATCATATCTGGATGTTAAACTTCGTGGTTAGCGCTTGAAACATGCGACTGGCATGGCAATATCGCGTACAGTTCCACATGTCTTGTGCCACTTGCTTGCTCTCACCCACCATCATCTCAATAGTCCAAGGTAGTTTGGTTCCTGTAGGTGAGACACCTGTCATCTCGTAGTATTTCTCGTTCGCCTCCAATAAAAGTCCATCCGGATTGAATAGATACATGCCCATGGGCGATAGTTCGGTCATTCGGCGCATTCGTCCGGTCTGAAGTTGGAGCTGTCGAGACATCTGTTCTCTTTGTAGGGTAGCCATCTTAGCGACTTCTTTGCTTTGCCGCACTTCACCTTCGAAAAGTAGTACTGACGCCAACGACGTGGCGATCTGTCTATTGAGCATGGCGATGAAAGACCTGTACTCATGATCATAAGCCCTTCGTGGATTGATGCCTATTAGTAACAAGGCACACACGTTGTCTGCATTGGTTGGTCGTAGAGGTAGAACTATGGCCTCTCTACAAGGATCCTTGTAGCCGCGCCATTCGATGATGTCTAACAGTGGCTGTGGAAGCGTATGGTCTTTGATGCTCAACATCCTGGGCTCCAGGGTCTGGGTAGCTGCTCGAAAAGCAGGTGTCAAGATACCATCGTAGTTCTTGAAGCTGAATTTGTCGGGAGACACTGCATGCCCTCTCGGCACGCCGATAGATCCTTCGAACACGCATGACTTGACAGACGTTGGCGTTGCATCTGAATGCGAGGAACCATTCTCAATGTCGTCTGCCTCGGTAACGGTATAAAGAAGCGCAAAGGGTACGTCGTATTCGTTGTGATTCAGGCCCTCCAGCACTCTTATCCAGAATTCTTCTGAAATGTGGGTGCGCGATTAGCGTCAGTCACATGAAGGATCGTCCATATTCACTTACTGACAGTACGTGTGGCGTTCATACGCTCCCCGAGGGATCGCAGTAACCACATTCTTCTACTGCTGATCGACTCAACCGTGGTATCAAAAGCATTGAGATAGACTACAGTTCGCATCTCAGTCAGCAGTTCCAGTATCTTTGGCTCAAGCCCACTGAGTCTCGCTGATAAGCGGTACGGCAACGTTTCGCAGTGTTACTCACACCCCAAGACCCGCTCTGTTCCACCAAAGACCGGAACCTGTCCATCTGTTAGATGTATTCATGGGGCCAAATCGAGGGCATCAATACTGACAAAAGACCAAGTAAAGAAAGACTCTTCCATGTAACCGTAACGCATGATGGGTAGCGGCTGGTTGTGGTTTAGCTGCGCATGGCCTGTCCGAGCACATTCGCGAATTACAGGACCAACCGCGTGCCACATTTCATCGAAGGGGCCTGAGAAACCGGTTCCCATCAAAGCCGGATGTTTGTCGCCCGTCACGTCGTCTCGATAGGCCTCATTGTAAAGCATGGTCAGGTCCTCGCCCCAGAAGACAGAAGATGGATGAGGGTTGCGCATGACTAAGCAGATGATCTCTCGGAACTGGATCGACCATCTGTTCATAGCTCCCAATGGTGTGTTTGCCCAGTCGATGCCCCTTACAAACTGTAGATGATCCGAGAGAACACCTCTGGGGTTCGGTGCTGTCCAGTCGGGTACGGACGAGTCAGGTGTAGACAAAGTGATCGCTGAGATGCTCGAGGAGCCATTTTTGTCACGGTCCTGGCCGAGGGAGACAATCGGAAATTTAGGTTGTTGCACATCCTCAACGATCTCCCGCGTCGGTATTGCCTCTGCAGAAGCTAAACTCTTCGCTACGTCGGCAGTGAGGTCGCCGTGCCCCTCTTTCTCAAGTCGCGGTGCTGATGCGCTCAGCGGATCCCCTTCAGGGATATCTTCATTCTGGAAAAGCTTGTGTGCGCTAATGATTCGCCAATTGGGAAAAATCGAAACACCAAGCCATAAAAAGTTCTCAAACTCGATGGTGATGGGAAATATATCCCGGGAGTCGTTGAATCGGCTGAGGATTGTCGTCCATATTCGAAACTCATCATGTGTTGCTCCACCATCCAGGGAATCGCCATGGCTTGGCGAAGTGCCAATTACCTTCTCCAAAAGCTGGTGTTGCTCTCGGAGTGCTGCATTGCAAAAGATCGGTCGTATCGGATTTCGACACCCCTTCGAATATTCGTCCATGTTGAGCACGAACGTGGGTCTGCCATCGAGATCCAATAGCTGCGGAAGGGTGCATGTGTTGAGAATGTCAAGAGCAGCATCGTGCCGTTGGGCCTGGTGTAGGGTAGAAGGAGCTGTAGGCAGCGGTAACTGAAAGAACGAGCTACTCATTAGGGTCCAGATGGGAGATCGTGTCGGCCCTGCACGATGATAAAGCAAGGTACATTAGGAATAGGGAGGGCGTGCGTTTGTAGGGTCGATGTGCGACGTACAACGTGAAAGGTCGCGATGGGTCTGTGCCTGGGCCATAGAAGACGCTTTGAGCGTAGTAGCTACGGTTCCTGTGGGCGTGACTACCAAGACTGCGACAATCAGAGTATAATTGGCAGGTACATCTGATGCAGACGGTTGCAGACATTACCATGTCGCCGATACATCGCATGCTGCTTAAAAGTATTACTTCCCCGTCGCACCTAGGCGAGCTCTTCCGCGAGCTGATTCATGGCTTCTCCAAGCCGGTAGGCATCATTTAGATGTCTGGGTGGCATTGCGACGGGCTTCTTCAATGTGAAAAACAAAGAGACATCAATCGCATGCGCGTAGTCAAACCCCATATAGCAAGCACGGTGTCGTTCAAAAGATGGGACGCTGAAGTAGATGTCGCGTCCACGGGTGCGTCCCGGGACGGTTGTGAACCGCGCTACCTGGTTAGAAATGACGTCATGCGTTTTTAGCACCAACACGGAATGTTCTCCGTATCGCAGAACGAGCAGATTGCTATGTTGCACGATCCAACAATAATCCTCTCTGATGTTTTGACTGATGGCTCTTATGCGCTGGACCTGCGTTTTTGGATGGGGGCAGAAGCTGCTACATCTCTCGATCCAAGACTTGGATGGAGCTCAAGACCGTTCGACTTCCGAGGTCCCGAGGTCCCTTCCTACTGTAGGCTGTAGGCATGGAATGATCCTATACACCTGACCATACAGACACCTCCAAATCAACTCTTGTTGCGACATCGTTAGTATGCACAGCTAGACGAGCCGAGGGAATTTAGTGACAGCCCACGGCTCCAACGACTCCGAGAAGCTTGTCAAATCAGGCGCCATGGAACGCGCAGAATTGAGGGGGAGAGAGAAAAAGACAAGAGAGTCGAGACCAAATGCTTGAAGTTGTGGCGGGGTAGAGGTGATAGTATGCGGTTCAGTAACTTTCCAGATGTTAACGCAGTAGTAGTGGTGCTCTAGCCACAGATTAGCCCGAACGAGGGGTCTTGGAAAGAACTACAAGTTTGTTCTGGTGTGATACGCTAGCATACGCCTGAAATATACTCCCAGTGGTTGAGAATCGGAAGGAGAGATTATGCGGACTGGAAAAGAAGAAGTACGGGGATAACTTCCGCAGGGCGGACCGGGTGTTTGGGCCGCGCTTTGATGTGCGGAGTGTGGGCCCACGGACATTTTGTCAACGTCAAAAACACCCATCTGACGGACAGAATCCCTCGTCTCTGAGAAGAATTGCATGTGTATGTCTCCACAGCGCGCAATCCTCATCGCCGATATCTTGGCGGGCTGCTAAGCCGAGGTCGAGCGAGGTCGAGCGAGGTCAGGTTAAGAGACTGCCCAGGCGGTTATCCAGGTGTGCTGGCAAGACTCGGCCAATCGCATCTTCACAACCCAGTCCGTCTATTTGGCTGTGGACGCAACTCCTCTTCTCTCCGCGCACTCTTCACCGGCCGATGTTCATGCATTCCTTGCTCAACCACCATCACTACAATGCATCTCTAACACGTGCAGAAGGTTATTTCGCGTGGATCGAATGCCGAATGCGCCAGAGCCATGCGTCAATCCGAGCCCAAGCGGAAAGTGGGTTCACGATGTCAGTGGCGCTCAACTGCCGCATTCAATAGTCTTCGAACCGGATCTAGTAAAGCAGCTCTTGATTTACTCAGGGGAGAGATCATGATCACAGCCCGTCCCGTACGCTAATGACTTACGTAGTGCATGATCTACAAGGCCTATGCAGATCGATATATACCAAGATGCGCTTCCGCGACTGTTCCACCTGGTCGGCGACGCTAGAGCGGTGACAATGTAAACATTTCGTGGTAGACTGCGATGCAACGTTTGGGCAGGATGACGATCTTGAGCTTCACGACTCGTGGTGTAAGAATGGTTAAAGAAGGGTCGTATGCTTGCTTATCTTGATCGACCAGGGCCCTGCATCTCCTCATCTTTTGGTCGTGCTTGCTTCTTGTACCAAGGTCCAGCAATTGTCAACATGCGTCTCTCCATCCAATCGCTAGCTCTTCTGAGCGTTCTCCCTGCGTCGCTCGCAGCTCCCGCACCATCTCCAGCTGCGGCACCTGCACCGATTGCAGCACCAGCACCGGCCGTCGACGCAGTTCAGGGACTGGATGAACGTCAACTGCTCAGTAAACTCACATCTGGTTTGACCTCCCTCGTTGGTGGCCTTCTCGGCCAATGCGACCAAGCAGTCAAGGACGGCGATGCCCCAAAGGTGCTCGACATCCTTCAGCAACTTCAGCCTACTTCGCGACCAACGAACATCGAAGAGGCAGTCGCAAGGCACTCCCAGATCTGGGCGAGCCCGACCACGCGAACGGACTTTTTCGCCGCAGTAGCGACCCAGATAGCCGGTGGCCTTGTCCTTGACGACACGCTAAAGGCCGCTTTCACCGGTGGTCTGCCCTTCGGCGAGAACAGCATCAACAGCAACAACCCAGCCACCGTCGGTATCTACCCGAAGAAGGATGCTGCTGATGCGCCATACACACTCTCCGAGTCAGCACTCCGAAAAGCACTCTTCATCCCACCTAGCTTCACCTACGGCGAGAAGCGCCCAGTGATCTTTGTACCCGGAACTGGTGCTTATGGAGGCACAAACTTTGCCAACAACCTCAGGAAGTTGTTGAATGGCAAGAGCTACGCTGATCCTGTATGGCTCAACATCCCCGGCGCTATGCTCGCGGATGCGCAAACCAACTCCGAATACATCGCCTACGCCATCAACTACATCAGTGCCGTCTCACGCACGAACAAGGAAAACATCGCCGTCATATCTTGGTCCCAGGGTGGTCTAGACACACAGTGGGTGTTGAAGTACTGGCCATCAACCCGCAAGGTTGTCAAGGACTTCCTCCCCGTATCTCCAGACTTCAAGGGCACTGTCATCGCGAACGCGATCTGCTTGACACCGAACAGCGACATCGCGCTCCTTCCCTGCGACCCCTCTGTTATCCAGCAAGAGGCTACCTCCGATTTTGTTGCGTCGCTCAGACGCGACGGAGGCGACAGCGCATACGTACCCACAACAACCTTCTACTCTGGCCTCTTTGACGAGGTTGTCGAGCCTCAACAAGGCACCATCGCCTCCGCTTTCATCAAAGACGCGCGCAATGTTGGCGTCTCGAACAACGAGGTACAGAAAGTGTGCTTTGGGCAGCTAGGTGGCTCTCTCTACGGTCATGCCGGCGTTCTGTTCAACCCTCTGACCTACGCGCTTATCGTTGATGCGCTTACGCACGATGGACCGGGTAATGTGGATCGCATTGATGTTAAGAGCGTTTGCAGTACCTACGCGGCTCAGGGTCTCGACCTTGATGATGTATTGGCTACTGAAGGGCTCATTCCTGTGGCTGGTGTACTGCTGTTAACGTACCCACAAAAGATGTACGCTGAGCCTGAGTTGAGGGCTTATGCTAGATAGATGTGGCTCACAGATACTTACGTTCAATATCGCAATCGGTAATATATTTTGCAATTTGTTTCATCAACCATGTTGAGCTAAACTTTACGTGGAAGCGTGAACGTGTG